CACACACACACACACAGAATTATACACTGGCGGACATTTCCAGAAGCGTCACGCAGGCTTATTCAACTTTCCACAGAGCTTCAAGCTTATCACAAAATAAGTGTTCATTCGAGTAAATGAGGAGCATAGAGTTTCACAGGAAAGGGTATGTTAGGCTGCATGAAAAACAATATTAAACACAATGATAGAATGGAATATTTCTGTGTAATAGGTGAAATAAAAGGGTTGGGTTGTGTTTTAACTTAACTTATTTTTTGGATCTTTTGGAGCTCTTAGAGGCACACAACAGCTTTGCATCTTTTTTAATATTGTTGATCTTCTCCTTTTTGTTTCCTGTTTGTTGGCTGTGCTCTCAGCCACCTCCCCTAGGGAGAAGTGAATTGAAACAGACCCAAGTTTAACACGTGCATTTGAGTATATCTATGGCAGCTAGCTGTATATCTATATGTATCTTCTATAGGGACGTCGAGAGGCCGCCTGGCTGTGTGCCATAGCTGAGAATGAGACGAGTACGAGATGTAGTTTGAGAACTCGCTGAAGGAAGAATACAATAGAATATAGCTGAGAAAAGACATCTGTTCCCCACGTATCAGTAAAAAAAAGCAGTTGGTGACCTTGGTGATATTGTTACCATCAAACTGGGAAATGATCAAGATAAAACCTCGAGGGAAGGGCCAGTAGATCAGACTGCGGGTCTCATTTACTTTATGATCTCAAAATAACATCTAGATAATAACATAATCAAGACCTTCTCCTCTGTGCCACGTAGTAACTACTAGGGAGTTGAGGATAATGTCTCATTTTGTCCCTAAATGGTCTATACTGCTGTAAATTGCATTCTGGCCAAATGTGAACATGCAAAATGGGATTTTATCTGCTTAGATCTGCTCTGGTTTATCCACTGCAGCCAACAGAAAGTTTCCAGATGTCTCACATAGACTCTAATGACCTGAATAGCTTCAAGACCTGAACCAGGATTTTACCACCTGCCTCTAAGCAAAGTCTCCTCAATCACCAAGGTGGGTTCTTATTTCTGCAATGAACAGTTGGCCTGCATAAACGCGACTCATTTATGTAAGCCATGAATGTGACTTTGAGAAGGATTAGTCTCCCCTGCCATGCCACAGTTCATTTAACTCGGTTTAATGCTGCGTCAGCACCAGGACAGAGGCTGGGTACAAGTAATTTGTCAGAACAAACTAAGGGAAAAGTTTCCAGTGAGGTGCTTGTTTGGTTGTCGGGTACGTGCAAACAGACCAACCTGGCATTCAAACTGAAGTGGCTGGTTGTGCGAGTCGGGCCTGACGTAAAATAAAAATCTGTACCACTGCCGCGTGAGTAGCTTCAGCTAAGCTGTATTTTAATGAATCATTGCTCTTGGATGAACCATTAAAGGTCCAGTGTGTAGGATTTAGTGCCATCTAGCGGTGACTTTGCAGATTGCAACTAACTGAACACTTTTGGCATCTGTATTTGACAACCTGGGAATGATGTGGGCTGTGGAGTGTGTAGGGGGAACTATGGTGGCCATGAAAAAAGGCAAATGTCCCTATTTACAGCCAGTGTTTGGTTTGTCCGTTCTGGGCTATTGTAGAAACATGGCGGTTCAACATGGCGTAAACATATGCACATATGATTCCTATATTAAGGTAATTATACACTAATGAAAACATAGTTATGAATATTATATTTCATTTCTGCCAATAGTTCCTCCTAAATGTTACACACTGGACCTTACAAGTGTCACTACTTTTGAGAACTTACTTTGGTTTTAGCTATGCAATGCATTTTTCCATGTATACATATTAGTTATTTTATACCAGAAAGTTGTTTTTTAATGGCGGATATTCTTGTTTAGTGCCAAGAACAATGTATAACAGAAGATCTTCAAATACGCTTAAAATCACATGTGACTGATGACGGCTACATTTGTGATTGATGAGTTTTCTTTTTTCATTTTTACAAGCTGTGGATTGTATTATTAAAAATGGCAAACAAAGCTTTGGCCATTATACCTAAGGTCCAAATATTGCTTCTTGTTTAATCGCATGAAAAAAAATGTCATCTGTTGCTGCCTGTTTTATTATTGATTATAACACTACTGTAGAGCTCCAAAGTTCAGTCTTCATTGTATGGATGTCCGCAGGGAGGAGGTTTACGAGCATACCAAGCAAACACGAAATAGGAGATTAGCAATATTCATGTTATGCACCTGATATGTTTAAACCGCGGATTAAACCCACTCTCATGTCTGTCGATTGATTCAATATAAGGCTACAGCCAGCAGTTGCTACGCTTAGCTTAGCAAAAAGACTAGAAACAGGGGAAACAGCTAGCGTGGCTTTGTCAATAGGGAACAAATATCTAACAAAAACTGTAGAAATTATTATTAAGGTGTAAATTAGTGAGCTGTGGTGGTGCAGCTTCCCAGGTCAGCTTAACATTGTCAAACCTTTGCCTTTGTTTCAGTGTAATCAATCGTTCTGTAGACTTTAAGGCTCAATCTCAGTTGTCAGGTACACATCTTCATAAGCTCTATCTGCACAAGCTCTGATATTATTTGGAATAGGGCTGCCATCCAAAATAATATATCCATTATGTTTTTTAAACTGCTTATACATATCTTTGTTAGTCTTTCATTTATATTTGTGTCCCAATACCAGTCTTAAAAGAACAAGGGGGGGTCAGTCATTAGATGCAGTTTCCATCATGTCTTCTCAATCAAGAGGGATCGAAAGCCGAAATGGAAACCTTGCAGAGAGGGATCCTCTTGGCAGGAAAGTGAGGCGTGTAATTCTCTATTGTTCACAAAGAGGAATTAACCTCAAAGTGACGGCCTGTTATAGTTACTCCATGGCCTGACTTCACCTGCTGTGATCTGTTTTCTTCAGGAAACACGTCTTAAAGAAGGAATCGTCAGACTTCAGCCTCAGGAAGAACCTCTGCGCTCTGAGCTGCTCAGTGGAAAGTTCACTGTGTTGGTAAGTGAGTCTCTAGATTCGGCATTCCTTACATGGAAAAGTACAGTCTAATGTCACATTACAGAACAATTACAGAAAAGTTTGATACATATACTATGTATCAAAAGCCTGATATACTGTTGCATTGACCTCCATTGTTGTTCAGAAACTACTGAAAACACTGATAGTTTTTAGTATTTTCATGGGATTTGTTGACAGGAAAATTATAGAATAACCCCTAGTCTTATCCTTTTAAACTGTCAGCTTACAATCCCATATGCAGCTGTTGCTTAATAGAAGGAGTAATGGTTAAAAATGCTTCAGGATTCAGTCTGTATTGAACAGAATTATTCAGGCAACAAAAATGTCCTCTGTTGAACATGTTAAGATGATGGGTTGTTTTGCTTTAGGGTTTAGGGTTCCTGTGGAAGCAGCTTGGTCTGAAGATCAATCAGTCAATAACTTGCACTTCAAAGGATCTCAACTTGTGCTAATGTAATGAGCTCACTTTTCATGGACAAGAAAGGTTGACTGTACCCATTATGAAAGCATACTCTCATAATGAGGACTTAAAGATTCTTTTGGGGTGCAACTTATTGATTGACTGATGTGCAAAGTGCATTTCCTGTGCCAGATAAATTTAGCCTTTTGTCAGCCAAATCACAACCATAAAATATGCCCCCCTTCCAGCACACACACACACACACACACACACACACTTCCACTCTCCTGCGTTTCCCTTCTTCCTTCCCCATTGACGTGCCACAGTGGCATTGATGCTGCACATCCTCTTGTCTGACGTCGGAGTTCTCCAGCCTCAGCAGCGGGCTTCATATCCTGTCTGAGGTATTTTTAGCCCCCGTGCCCGAGAACACAGGCTTATTTGCTTACAAAGGACGGTAGTATCTTTTGGTCAGCAGCTTCATTCAACTGAAGAGCCTCTAGTTCTGGATCAGGTCTGACATGAAAAATATGTTCTGTGTCCCTCTTGGAAAGAAAAAAAAGAGCTGCAAGACCTGCAACATCATTACTGACAAGCACAAGAACAATTGACATTGTTTCTCCTGGTGAATTGTTGACAGCCCTTTCAGACAGTGTGCCAGTAACCAGCGTATGAACTTAAGTGCCCCCCTGTGGTCATTGTTCATCCTTCATTTTTGCAGAGCTTCCATTTGGCTGCTTTGTTGTCACACTAGTTGCCACTTGAAGGACTTTACTGGGGCTTGTTTAAAGTACCATATGATTCCTATCGTAAACACATCTCAGTCAATCCACTGGACATATTTTCTTCCGATAATATAATCCAGGCTTTCTCATTCTAATGAGAAATTCAATGATGCAGAAAAAAGTGAAGAAATAACAAAACCTTCAGAATACAAATAAAACACTTTCATTGTAAGTGTGCTAATATTGTTAACCGTTCAGTACATGGAGTTTAAGCTGGTAGTGAAACGTAGCTTGAATGCTGGTATAACCTGTGCGTTTTATGCATTCCAGAGTGTACGGGATCCTTCGGGGGCCTCTATTGCCTTGTACACAGCCAAACTTCATCACCCAAACAAGACAGGCAACCATGTGGTGCTTCAGGCCCTCTTCTACCTCCTAGATCGGGCCGTGGAAAGGTGAGGACTGTGGTTTTAAGACGATAGCCTAAATGTAAAAAAAAGTTGTAATAAGACAGTTTGTTTATAATTATTAGTAAAATGTTATCTGATCAATATTGGGCATCCATTCCTCCCTAGAATAATAAATCCTGCTTTAGCATTTAAATCTGGTGCAGCATTTTGCTATTAACTTCCATGGCAACTATATTTGAAGTGTGATTTCAATATGCTGTCTGTTCAATGGGTTGGGAAAAAGAAAAAGGTTCACTTGCCTGCATAGGTTAGTTGTTCCCTGACTTGTTTTTGTGTGTGTTTTTAATACAGGCAAAATATTAATGACATGACATTATAATCTCAAAAAAGGAAGAAAAACTAAAAAAGCAGCCAGACAAAAGAAAAGAAAAATACAAAATGTTAATAGGATCCCTTTGATAAGTCCAATAATTGACAGCACATTTAGAAAAATGAAATAAACATATGACAGGTACTGTAGAGCATATTTATAGCTTTATATAGTCACTAGAGCACATTTTTCCATTTCAGATTGCGATGTGCTACTCAATAAAGGTTTCTTACCCATTTTTTTCCCCCAAAAGATATTTGCCTGGACATTAATTTGGAAAAGATTAATTCTTAGAATAGATAAGAATAATTGTGTTTCTCATCTGAGGAAATTTTTCATTCAGAACCTCCAACATAATGTTTAAGCGTGCAAGTTCAAAATAAATGTGTAACCCATTTTGCATTATTAGTCACACTTACAATAGAAAAACAAATGTAACTGGTCTTTTTCTACCTCATTACAGAATCTACATTATGATGATTGTTCAGTGTTAAACATGTTAAATTGTTCTTTTAGTAGCAGTACCAACCTGTTTTCTAAGATATCCAAAACATTAAGAAATCTTAACTTCTGTTTGCCCACAGCTTTGAGACCCAGAGGAATGGCTTGGTGTTCATTTATGACATGGCAGGCTCCAACTACACAAACTTCGAGCTGGACCTAAGCAAGAAGATCCTCAACCTGCTCAAGGTGGGGATTACAGTGCTGCCTTTTACATCTACACAAATGTATTTAATATATATATAAAATTTAAAAAATAAAAAAATGCATGATTTTGAGAAATGGAAGGTGTAATATTCAAAGAATTGCATGTTGAGTTATGTCCTTCATCCTGTGAAGAACCAGTCCAATGGACAAAATGAATAGCTTACCAAATGGGTTGATAAGCATCAAAATCATTTAATCCATACTCCATGGCTGTGTAGTGGTACTTTTTTTGGCAGGTACCTGCAAGTATGCCTACAACAAAGGGATTTATGTTTAAAAGTTTAGTAGTATGTCAAATAGAGTCAATAACACAGACACGTATGTGGCCGCATCAGTAGCATGTATTTTATCCTCACATATTGATCTAAAAAGTGACTGGGTTAGCTAAGTTGTGGTCCTCAAATTCAGTTAATATATGCAGAAGTAAAGCATGATAACACAAAGTAAGGAAAGCATAATTATTTGTTTGTCTTTAAGAAATAATTAACTGAAAGAGAGTGAGCTTCTCTCAGGTCAGTGTCCAAGTCGCATTTTGAGGATAAACTACCTTTCCTACATAACACACTAGCACATTATTGACTAAATCGTGATTCTCAAAGAAAAATGAAGTAAACTGAATCTGTGATTATAAATTGTAGTTTGATGTGCTGTCCTCTCTCCACCAGGGGGCGTTCCCTGCCAGGCTGAAGAAGGTGTTGATTGTCGGGGCCCCTGTTTGGTTTCGAGTGCCCTACAATCTGCTCAGCCTGCTTCTCAAGGAGAAACTTAGGGAGAGGGTAAATAAAGGCACTTATTGCTCATATTCTAATAAGTGCTCCATATTTATGATGATAGTTTTGAAAAATGTTGTTTAGTTTATCTGGAGTGGCCTTCAGTGAGTAAGCAGGCAATTCAGGGTCATTGATTGTTGCAAGTGATCATTTGATTAGGGGTTTTTTTTCTCGCTACTAATCCACCCTGCTGCCTCATATAGCATATGGAATGTTAATGCTTGAATCACTGGGGTCGATCACCCTGCCACATTACCGTCCCTGAGGAATTTCATTAGTATGGATTCCTTTGGGGACTGATTGTTTACTGTAAATTGTGTTTCAGGATTGTTCATGCAATTACGAATAAACAAACAAATACTGACATAAAAATGAAAAAAAACAAAAAAATATTGAGTTTCTGGCATTTTTTACTTGAACACAAACAGACTCCTGTCAATCGCTTTCTCTTCTCCCTCCAGGTTCAGATGGTGAAAATGGCTGAGCTACGCCAGCACCTCCCCAGAGACTGCCTCCCACAGCACCTTGGCGGCCTGCTGCCCCTGGATGCATATAGCTGGAACCAGCAGCTACTGGCAGGCCAGAACGGCCGAGTAGACCCAGTGGACGAGCTGGTGGGCATCCCAGTGGAAGAGGCCTCAATTCACGTCCCTGGACCCGAGTCCATGCGGCCACATGAGCTGCTGACACACCTTGGCAGGCTTCAGCGGTCAGGCATCCATCAAGAGTATGAGGAGCTCCGCAGAGAACCCCCGCCTGGAACCTTTCACTGTGCACAGTGAGTTTACAGCAACATACACTCGTTACTTTTGGTATAAGCAGTGAATTTGTAGATTAGAATTACTTACTTATTATTAAAACAGCCGTCCTAGTTTAGGCTACTTGTATTCATCGGGCCAATTATTCTTGTGGACCTAAGCTCATACTATTAGCAGAAGCTGGCAAAATTATATGATCGAAAATGAAGATTAATTTATGTGTCCCACCCTGGGCTTTGGGAATTTATAATGGGCACAAATGATTCAAAACTGGGACATCAGATTTACTACTTGTAGATTGTCATTTTTGGCTACAGCACCAAGTGTGTCATTAGTAATTTTTGGTATTATTTGTTTACAGAGCAGCCTACAATCTGGAGAGGAATCGCTATGGAGACGTGCTGTGCCTTGATCAGACAAGAGTTCGTTTGAAAGCCAGAAAGAACGAGGTTGTTGCTTTTTAAAATATTACGTGTTTCATTCATATCAAAAGAAAAAGCATTCATGCTGCCAAAAAATGTGCCATGCTTAAACATTCTGAAAGACTGCCACACTGACAGTGTTCTGCTTTATAAGCAAGCTGGCATTTGTCCAGCATGAGAGAGTGTAACCAAAGTATTTTCACTCTGTTGTACTCACTTCTCTAAAATGTAATACTGCATCAGCCCCATGTGGATAACTGAGTCATACAATATTATTCAGGTCGAGCACAATTTACTTTTTAGTGTTTTCTTAAACTGGAATGATACATAAATTTTGCAAGGGTTACTGCCACCTTTGTAACAAAACTTTGTTGTTCCCACAGAGATCAGACTACATCAATGCAAGTTTTATGGACGGCTACAAACAGAGGAATGCATACATTGGTACTCAAGGTATGACAGTTTTCACATTAATGTTTAATGATGTAAATGGTTGCAGTGGACCAAGCACAGAACCTTGTGGTATACGGATGTTAACTTAAGAGTGTTCACAGATGATTTGTCATATATAGCAGAAGATAAACTATGAGTATCTTATGAGACAGTGGAGAGAATTTAAATTGTGTAATATTGTGTAGGATATCAGCAGTCAGATTAGTAGTATTAGTTCTCGTTTTGAGAGCAGATGGCAAAATGTATTAAGAGTCCTGTTATCAGAATTATCTCCTCAATGAGTTTGGCAGGATGTTAGTTTTGTAACAAATACTGTTTTTCTAAAGATAAGAAGGGATACTTTCTCAACTTGACTAACTGTGTGTACAACAATACGCTCTGACATAAATTTTGCGATTTAAAGAATCATTGTCAGTAAATGAAGAGCCGAGAAAAGGGAAGGGTCTTAATTTTCACTACCATGTCCAAAAGTCTTTATTAGTGTTTGTTAGGAGTGTAACTAGGCTGCTATTCCATGCAATTAAATGGGTATGATTCATTCCACTGATTACTGACTGAACTAAAGTCATTTTAATGTACTTTGAATCTCTTGTTGAACTGTGTAGGACCACTGGAAAAGACCTACAGTGATTTCTGGAGAATGGTCTGGGAACAAAACGTGCTTGTTATTGTAATGACAACCAGGTAATTTTGTCATTTTTATATATATAATTCATACTAGTAAAAAATGTGCCTGTTTCTTCTTTAATGTAAGTGAGAATAAGAACTGTCACTTAAATGTAATTAATCAAGTATTTCCTGTCTCTGTGCTGCAGGACAGATGAGGGCAGTCGGAGGAAGTGTGGACAGTATTGGCCTCTGGAGCAAGGGGGGCAGGAGGTCTATGGCCATATGGCAGTGGTTAACCAAAGGGTTGACCACCACACCCACTATAACCACACCACCCTCGAACTGCACAACACTGAGGTACAGCCATGGGCCGCTGCAACAATATGTATTGCAACAGAAACGTGCATACCAGGGTGGTTTTTCATGTAGCAACAACATTTAGTTTGTCAACAAACAAGCTAGGGAAAAGGAAAAAAAAGCAAAAGGTCAAAGATATTTTTCAGTGGAATTTCTTGCCAACAATTTCATAGTGAGATCATTGTCCTCTCTTTATCTGGGTCCAGTGGAAGCAGGATAAGCAACATAGCCCAGATGTCCTTCTCCTTTATGAACTCTGCTGCTGAAACTGTTTCTTGGCTGGGCTTAGTGACTTCATGTCTTCTCATCACCATGAGGTTGACAGGAAACCAGCAAAGACTGCAACAAGCCTCTGCCCCCAGCAAAACAATAGTTCCAGCTCATAACCCCCTGTGAAACCACATCATTTTTTTAATTTGTTTTCTCTGTACGCATCAAACAAATAAGATATAAATTGTTACGTAGAAGTGCTGGTATGTGTTTTGGTTTTTTTTTTATTTACAGAGCCAAGCTAGCTGTTCCCCCTTGTTTCCAGTCTTATTTATACTAAGTTATGCTAGCTGGCTCCAACTATATATAAACATATAGCATACAGACTCACCTAACACTCTGCAAGAGTAAGCGTATTTCCCAAAATTTGAATATTTTTTAATTATTATAGAAACTGTTCCTCTAATGGTGCATTGGTGCAACAAGCATGTAACTAAAATCATTTTTTATCCATTCAGACATGTGAACAGAGACAAGTGAGTCATTTCCAGTATCTCAGCTGGCCTGACTACGGCGTTCCCACCTCAGCAGTGACTCTCATTGACTTCCTGGGAGCTGTGAAGAGACAACAGAGGAAAATGGTGAAGGCTTTGGGACTTCAGTGGGCAGGCCACCCACAGGGACCTCCAATGGTGGTCCATTGCAGTGCAGGGATTGGGAGAACAGGTGAGATCCTGCGATTGTATTCTTCTAAAAGCTTGACCTCTGATTATTAGCTTTTACCAGTATGTATTAATGATAGTTTTCAGATTAAATGTGGATAATTTCCTAAGCTTTTTCCAAATTTAAACACAAAATGCTTCACATTGTCTTAAAACAGTATTAACAATTGTACTTCTTTGTCAATAATCCCGTCTTTAAAAAGTGTCACTGCTAACAAGCCCTGTTGTTGGCAGGTACCTTCTGTGCCCTGGACATCTGTCTGTCCCAGCTACAGGACGTAGGCTCACTAAATGTATGCCAGACGGTGCGACGCATGAGAACACAGAGAGCCTTCAGCATTCAAACCCCGGACCAGTACTACTTCTGCTACAATGCCATTTTGGAGCACGCCCAAAGGCAAGGCCTGCTCCCAGCCAATCAGTGAGCTTCAGCCCCGACTTCCCGAAACCAGTCCATGAGCCCTGAGATTTCTGCAGTCAATCTGTTAACCCCAAGCCGTGTTGTGTGACCAATTAGTGAGCCCAGCAAAGTTAACTTCCTCACAGAAGCTGTCTTTTGAAACTAGGCCATTCTTCATTTACAAGCCAGACCAAGACAAGACAGTGACACGAAAAGGCTTGAGTGTTGACATTATGATGTTTCAGTGTGATAACATTCTCGCTTCCAACAATGTGACATTTTGTTTCTTGCTGAACATAAGTATGTGGCAGCGTGAACAAACTGCTCTTGTGTTGTGCAATTTTGTGGTCTTTGGTCAGGCACATTGGGTGAAGTGATTGAGATAATGTTCATTAACCTCTTGTTTATTTATTTGCCACTTTAAACCAATGGAGGGGGAGGGGGCTTTTTTTAAAGGAGTAGTTCACTCCAAAATAAAAAAATATTCACTCATCCCATATCAGTTAAAACTCCAGTAAAGTTTGTAAGACTGCAAAACAATGAATGACTTTTAACTGCATTTCAGTCAAATTCTGCTTAAACCCTAAAGTTGCTATGGAAATGATACACAACAAAAGGTTTGTTACTTTTATACCTACAACTGCTGTGGAAAATAAATGCCCCATAGACACAATTACTGTACACTGATGATATCTTGGTCAGATGCATGACATAAGCACTCAACTTAATTTAGTAGTTTTAAATGAGCTGAGATGGAACTACAGTGGCTAACTTTTATGCCTTTTAACTATGTGTTGGAGTTTCACATGACTTGGGCGAGTTGACACAATTTTAATTTTGGGGTGAAATGATCTTTTAACTAAGTACACCATTTAAATTCCAAATGGGGAGCTTCATCTCCACTGTCATCCAACAATAATAGGTTTTACTCATGTACTTTTAGAGTAAGTTGGGTAGGTTTGTACACCTACTGTGTCCAGAAATTATGTTCCCTGTAGTGCATTTTTAGCACATGCTATATGTCACGTAGATGGTACGAGCTAGTTGCATAGTCTCAGGAGTGTCATACTGAACACGAGGAGGTGAAACTGCCCAACTTGTTGCCAAAAAACAATTTATTCAAAAGAATCTATTGCCAAGAGGTTGTCGTATTCCTTCAAGGCTGCACAATTCATTCTCCTCTGCCTCAGTAAATATCCCTGTATGGCAGTAAAGAGGGGTAAAGCACATCCAAAATGATCAGGCTGTAAACTCCCTTTTGTGATCCACTCATTAAATAGTTGTCCATGTGAATTCCTCTGTAGTTTTATGTTTTTGCTTTTCAATATGTATCCACTGAAATCTTCCATATCGCCTACGTATTGAGATTTCCTGACTTGCAGTACAGACAGTGTCTGGCCGCCTTTACTCACTAGCAGTGCCATCATGCTTTAGTGATTGTGGAAATGTATTGCTAATCACCCACACAATGCACACACACATTTAGAGCAGTCTGTAATGACTATGCCATTGAAGCGTACATCAGAAGTCATCAGTTAAGACCTCACGAGTAGTGCAATACTTTTGTTTTTGTTTTTTGACACACATCATGTCTTAGCACTTTTAAATAACCATTCCCAATGTGCTCTGAGATTAGTCATCATGTCAATAGGATGACAAGTAAAACGTAATAGTCGTCATAGGTCTACATGTGATGCTGGGATAACTTGATTGTTATTGTTAAATTTAGTAACGCTTGAATATGAAACATTTAGTGACATTTTGGTCTTACTGTAAACATCTGCATAGAGCTTTATTGGGACAAATCAAGAAGATTTTACAGGGAAATCAGAAATTAATGACACAATAGCTGACTAAGCATGCACAAATCTGTGCCTACACCCTATAAAGTCCTTCTTGGGCACCTGAGAGTCAGAAGTTTTGTCTGAAGTATATTTTCATTATTAATGTGTTACTTTAAGTTCTACAGACTGTGGTTGTAATCAGTGCTTTCATCTGGTCCCAGTATCTTGCCATTATTATAGAGTACATGTACAAAAACAGTGTCTTGTGTTGCATTATGTTGTTGCCAGGTGAAAAAAAATGTGTTCTTTACTACAGAATTCATATTGAATTTGCTTGTAGTGAAGCATTTTAAGTCTGCCATCCTCATGCACTCTGATTTTAGAATTATTTTTCCTTTCAATGATGACGCAAAATGTGCCCTATTTTATTTTTCTATTGTATTCAACAACTGTTTTCATACGATTACCCAGGATATACAGTTATCTACATTAATTTTATATTTGTTCTATTATAACCTATTACTTTATCATTCGTATGACTATTGAATCAAGCTATACCGTATTAAATACAAACTATGTCAACATATATGTTTGTAAAGGTGTGTGGTTTTTTTTGCCATATTAAGCTGATTTAGTAGAACGGCCATGCAGTTTTGTTGGGAATGTAATGTTTCTCATTTTCCAGTCAAGAGTTTGTTGATTATGGTATTTTCCATTTGGCAATCACAGTTGACTCTCTTGTATATCATCAAACAGTGAGACTTTTATAAAACTCTAAATATGAGGGAAAACAAAATCAAGGGAAGGCAAGACAACAACCTATGAAGCAGGCTTTATGTGTTTAATAAGTAACTTTAAAGCTACACTAATTAGTGTTTTTATAATAACAATGAGTCAAATGACAAAGTGTAATGTGAAAGTTGCTTGAATGATGAACCCACAGAGAATTAGGACTCTGCAGTTCTCCTCAGCTCAAAGCAGAATTTGTGTCTTCCAACTGATTGTTTTGGTTTTCCGGCCCCACAACTGTAGTGTTTTAGTTCACTGTCACCACTCTCAACCTCATTTCCAGCTGCAGCAGGCAGCTGAAGGCAGAAAATGTTCTAATAAACCCACTATACGCTAATTGCCCAGCAGCAAATAATGGATAGACAAAGCTAGCAACTACTTTATGAAGCATTTAGCCGCTAGAGAGCCACATATTTCCCTTAAGATGAATCAGGTGAATCAGTGGATTTTGTAAAATTTACATTTCTGTCCAGATGGAGTATACACCAACACTATTAAAAAACCTGAATACCGAAAAATGAGTTGAGAAATACAACAAATAGAGATGCTTATAGGGCAAGAGGGGCCCCACGTGAATATTAAGAATGAACTAATTACTTTTTACAGTCATATTTATCGCTCTTGGACTCAATAATCCATATCATCATAGTAGTGATGAGACAATGGATTTCATGCTTTATACACACCCTACTTAGAATCTAACCTAAACCAAACTGTCATTACAAGGCTCAGTAATGATTGCTGACAACTGAAGGTCCAAACGTCACTTTTCTCTTAACATACAGAGCCGATGGTTGCAGTACCACTCCTAAACTACTGCACACTCTCAACAAACACAGTGAATTTAGCTAAACTGCGGGGTTTACTACCACACCAAAGTGAGCAGTGTAAGCAAAGAGCATTGAGAGGAGAATACCCACAAAATGATGTGTACACCCACTAAGTTGAAACACTGCAACCGTGGAGCATGCTGGGAGCTAAACCCAGAGTGTGGAGTATTTCTATCTCAACAATGCTTGGGTGTGGTATGATTTCCTTAAGGTAATTACTGCTCTCTAATCTGCAGCAGCATTTTACCCTGAAGCCAAGTAAAGTAGTTCTCTCTCTTTAACAATCAAGTATAAAATTGCTATAACAAAAATAAATAACTTACTGTATTTATCGTTAAGAGACCAGTGTGTAGGATTCACTGGCATCTAGTGGTGGGAGCAGATTGCAACCATTTGAATACAACTCGGCTTTCCAAGCGTGTAGGAGTTTGTTCCTGTCCGTTATGGACAACTGTAAAAACATGGCTGTTGAATATGGCAGACTCTGTAGAACAGGACCCCTTCCCTCTGCAGATAAAAACAGCTCAGTCTAAGGTAACAAAAACACAAAGAGTCTTATTTTCAGGTGATTATACACCAGTAAAAACATACCTGTGAATATTAAATGTGAATCTGACTGCCGAAGAGGTGATGAGGAGGTTAGGAATTTAATACAGTATCAGACAGACTGGATTGAAGCTACAAGATGCACAAATATTTTGAGTTACACCAAAATCTAATAAGACATTTTATATGTAAAGAAGGTATAATTCTGACAGAAATAATAATGCAGCACAATAATATGTATTAAACATATCTGCTGCGATGTCCTATAAAGGTAAAACATAAGGAGGGCCCATGTACTGTACATATATATCATACTATACATATGATATATACACATATACCAATTTGAAAAATCTGGCAAACGATACAGGAAGAAGTACTTTAACTGTAAATAAAAGCAGATGTAAAAGTATTATCAGCAAAATATCTAAAAAATAATAAGTCAGTAACATGTTATTGATGTAGTTGGTTGAAGCGGATCTAATACAAACAACTTACATAACAACTTACATATATTCATATTGCGCAGAGCTTTAATTATAAAAAAGCATCATATTGTATTTGTTGACCACATGTGTTGTATGTAAAATCGAAATCTACCAAGCAGCTGGTCAGTATAAAGTACAGCGCAGTAGAGGAAGTATTTCAGTACAGAACTTGAGTAAATGTACTCTATTACTTGGCTCCTGTTTGCTCCACTGTGCAGATCTTGAGTGCAGATGATAGTCATACCCACACAGCTCTTATCAAATGGAGACACCGCTGCTGTCTCACTGCTGCTCTCTCGGTTTTAGCGGGTGATATTCAAAATAAAATGACGCGTATTGTAGTGTGCGCCAATGCCAACGGAGGGGGGCGTCTCCAACTATTTTGTTACAAACACGAATCCGGAGTAAGGAGTCTTTTTCCTGGGTATGTAACAGCTGGTTAAACTAAATAATATTAACAGTGCTGCTGCTGTATTCAAGTGAACGATGTTTATATAGGATCGGAGAGCGTCCCGCGCTCAGTCGCGCCTTTTGCGTGTTTAAATGAATTGTAAGGAGGCTTTTCTTTTTGTTGTTGGTAATGGTCGTGAACGGCTAACGTTAGAGAATAGCCAGAAACATAACGTGGTGGATGGCCAAATCTGCAGGACGTCATTTTGTTCGGCTAGTAAACCC